TTTTTCAAATCTAAATAACAAAAGCAAGCAGATTAGACTGTGATATACACAGAGCAGAACAGTGAGTAAAAATAGCACCTTCTTACTCATATCGCTTTTCCGAGTAGAGTGATTATTACTGTATACAGCTAAAGCATTCACCAAATATGCTTTAATGTTGTTTAACTGATCTATTTACCTCTTTAAGCATCAGGTAGTATTTCCACTGCAATTAGTAAAATTATGAAATATTTCTTGTACACTATGCAAGAATGCACAATACATTGTAGTAGAAACCAAATGTAGATTTGAATTCAGATTTAGGCCTTGATTTTGCAAACTGCATGGTCAAGATCCTACACCCCCATGGAACCCCTTTGAACTTAGTGGAGATTTCTGTGAGCACAGAAGCCTGCCCATATAGATCAGCTTGCAGGACAATTAGCTCATACAAATTGAGCAATAAATCGAAAAGAAAAGAATGGTTTGTGGCTCATATGGTTGTTAAGGAAAGCTTGAAAAAGGCTGAACAACCCTTACAGGCAAATAAAAAAATAACTCCCTTATTATTACTAAAAATTATGATTTTGATATTTTGGGGGGACTTGACTCATGATTTCTGAATGCTTAAGGCTGACGATATTGCTCCTGTGGTTCTCCTCTTCCTTCTCAATCATGGGAGTTCAGGGCTTGAAAAGTTCACTTGCCCATGGTTAGAAGGCAGCTTTCCCTGATGGCACCAAAGCTTTTTTTTAACTGAGAAGAACCAGCTAAGTCTCACTCTTAATGGAACAGCTCTGAGGAGAAGCAGGGACATGGGCAGGAGTTACTCATTGGGAAGGGAAGACTCAAAAATATAGGGAAGAGGGGGGGGATAGAATAGAGAGACACCTCTTTCGCAGCAACCTGAGGGGAGAGGTAAATGGTGGAGAAGCAGACACACACGTCATGAGTTGACTTCCACAAAACACCTGGATAATTTTCTTCTCTGTTGAGTTCTACTTAGTTGACCCTGCAGTTCTTGGAGACAAATTCTCAGTTACGCTAAGGCCCTTTTACATGTGTTAGCTAAACACTATTTTTTCCCTTGAGTAATAGGCTCCGGTGAGGAGCCTAGAGTTGACCTCGACTAACTAAACCAAAGTGAAAGCTATTACCCTGTGTTGATTGTAGGGAAAAAGTTGGGTTAGCTACCACCAACCTGACCTTGACTTCTTTTCCTATCCTAGACCAATATTGAGAGAGAGGGACACTAAAATTAAAAGGGGGGGGGGAAACCCTAAACTTGTCTGAGTAAATACTGTAGATGGAATTGACTTATTTATTCTAAGCTTACTGTGAGTGGGGCAGAAAAAAAACAGGTCAGTGCAAGCAAACATTCTTTGTATGTGTGAGAGAGAGGGTGGGCCTAGGGTTGGCGAAAAATAAAAGCACTGGGAAGTAGAGGAGTGCTCCCGAAGCAAAATGAATTCAGCTAAATGAGTGCAGTGACCCTTTTCATGGTGTTTTGAAGGAACAAATTCAGTACAACATTTGCTTACTCTGTGTTTAGTCTATCCTAACTGTTTAGTCATTTAAATCCATGGTAAAGCAAACAAAAAAACACAGGATGGCAAACTTGAAATGTCTTTTTCCTTCCTTCCTCATAATATCAACAATTTTGTAATGGACTTTTCTTAAATAGCTTGTGTTTGTTTGGAATAAGCCTCCTCTCTCCAGTAAAAAGCCATTGGAATCTGAATCTGCCCGTCACATCACTGCTAGCATCACTGCACATCTTTTACTTTTGTGTCCTGAAGGATCCCACTATGCAGCATAACTGAAATAAACTGTTATTTACCTTGAAAGGAGGATGGGCTGAGAGTGGGCAATGTGATTTTTTTGTTTTTAAATTTAATTAAATTTAATTTTAACCCTTTCAGGTGATGTTTATGCTTGCACGGAATCATGAAATATTGGCTCATTTATTCCCTTCAGACATGGCACAGTGAGGAGCAAATCAAACTGACCTCACAAGATGTCTTCTCTCTCCCCCTCGCCCCCCCAATGAAAAATAAATTAAAAATCTGCATTGTCTTTGGGCTGTGTGAAATAAATGGGTACAAGCAGGATAGAGCAGAGGAGCTGCAATCCACAGGAGAATCAGAATGTTACCTGAGGCAGCATTAACTCCCACTGTGTGCTTTGTGTCTCTCCCCTTGAGAAAGGTAGAGCACAGATGGGGGTTGGCAGCCAAAGGCTACGAGAAGACTATTGGTCTTATTGAGCTTCTGTAGCAGAGGCCAGGGCATTTAAGCGAGGATGAATGAGACTACCTCCATGCAAGATCTATAGGGTTGAGTGCTCAGCCTTCTGTAGATTCCAGGGTTTGTGCTTCCTTATGGATGATCATCTCCTACCCATTCTCTGCCCCACTGCTTGCCTGGACCAGGGTGTGTCATGAGAGACTACTGCTATACTAGTGTCAGAGCTGTTGCAATAATTTGTCCTTTTCTGTGTGCAGGAGGGGATCATATAGGCATATGACTACAGCCAGCAGGACAGTCTGCCTCTGCCTTGAGGATGGAAAGTCCTGACGCAGTATATCTTCTCTTACCGTTCAACAGGAATAGCACAAGGGCCCGTCCCTGACACCAGTGCAACACTTCCCCACTCTCTCACTCCCTGCCAAATTTCAAGTCTCTACACTGAGGCAAAACAAAATAATCTTTCTGTGACTCTGAACCCTCAAGTTTTTCAGGTGGCTTAATCACAGTAACCACCTGTTCCTCTTCCTCCAAACACTGGCATTTTCTTCCTTTCTCTTGTTTGTTTTTACACTGGTCTACACTACAGTTAGGTCGATGTAAGGCAGCTTATGTCGACCTAATTATATCAGTGTCTACACTACAGCCTTCCTCCTACTGGTTGTAAGTGCTCTATTATACCGACATAATAACTTCACCTACATGAGAGGTGTAGAGCTTATGTCGGTGTAGTTAGGGTGACAAAAAGTGTCTGAAGACACTGCCTTACTTACATAGGCTGTCTTGCCAATTTCAGGAGCCATGAAATTGACAAGAAAGTGAGGCTGCTAGAGCCCAGCTGCCCTCACTCCCCTGGAGAGCTGGGTGGGTGGACACTGCTCCCGGCTGGGAGCTGGGCAAGAATGGATTCCGCTCCTAGCTGGGAGCCAGGGTGAGAAGCCCTGGGCGGCTGGACCCCCATTCAGGGCTGGGAGCCAGGCAGCCATGTCAATTTCACTGCTTTGTTGCATCTTGTCTTTGATTAGGGTGTAAGCTCTTCAGGGAAGAGACTGTGCTTTTCTATACGTTTTTACAATGCCTAGCACAATGGGAAATAATCCTAATGGGACCTTTGGGTATCACTCCTGCTCTTTATTACCACTACTACATTTAATGCCCTATTTTTATTTTTCCATTTCAAGAAAACATTTAATCCTGATGGTTTCTATGCAGTACCACAACAGTTTTCTTTTCTTTGCAAAGGGATAAAGAAAAGACTATATTCTACTGTAGGAGAACATGGTTGAGATTTTCAATGATACTTTGCACTTCTGTAGTGCCTTCAATCTCATACACTGAATTTCCCCTAACTATACCTCCATGACTTCCAATCACTCGATAATCACCCGAGAGCCAATGGGCAGATGGAAGAAATGGCGGCACATTTGCAGATGAAGTAGCTTGTCCTACATCATGTGAGGTGTTTATGGAAGTTCCAGGAGGGAAACCCAGATCTCTTGGCTCCCAGGCTTGTGCTTCAACTTTGTTTTCTAATTGAAGTCTTCTGCTGGACTAAGATTTTGGAATCTCAGCTGTATAGATTTTAAAAGGGCATCTGGGATTTGATGAAAGGGCTTTCTAGTAAGAGAGTACCTGCTCCCAGGCTCTGGGCTCATGCTGCTTTAGCTCAGTTGTCCATGACAGTTTTTCAAGGCTGATCTAATGGGGGGTAGAAATGAGACCTGTGGGTTAGAGCGAGAGGAGACGGCAGAACCACCAGTGTGTAGGCAAAGCAAAAACATTTAAATTCTATATTGGTTTTTTTTAGTGGCTCTTCAGTTTCATTCCCCCTAGGAAGAAATATTGAACAAAATTGCCTGTGCTAATCTCTTTTGCAAATAGAGGGAGATTGGACCATTAATTATAAATGTCTGAAAAAAGTACAGTAATCGGAAAGTAAAAGGTAAAAATCTCAGCACTTGTTTACATGAACGGGAAGCAGCCTCAGGATCAGTTTATTTGAAAGTCTATCTGTTTGTATAGAAGGTTGTCAGTTCATAAATATGGGAATGTGCAATTTCAGAACAAAAAAACCCAGTTAAAATATCAACAGAATTCTAAATCCCATTGCAAGTTTCTCTGTTTTTTCCTATTTCTGGTTGTGTCTCTTTAGTATGCATAGTGTTCATAGAGGTGTTAAGTTCCTTTAATTTGTTCATATGGTGGAAATGTTAATTTTCAGTGGTGCATAGGGTTTAAGGGGAGACAATTAGCTGTATAAGTCATTATTCTCATTCATTGGAATAGCCTTTCTGATTTGCTGTACATGCCCCATGTGTGTGTCCCATACTATTTAGGAATTGAAGTACTTTATTAAGCAGAGAACTTAATGGAACAAGTAACATAAGGTTTTACACTTTAAAAAACAAAAAAAACTTTCCATTCCATCCCAACTCAGTGTGACTTTGCAATAAATGTACGAGATGCATTTAGCTCATGCTGATAAGACCTATATGATAAGGCACTTGGACCACAGAGATGCTCAGGTACCTCAGTAGGTATGCTACAGTAACCTGAATAGAATAGTATTATGCAGTGTTGTTTTTCCTTGTTTCCTCCTCCACAAATGCCATATCCTGTCTCGATATCAAGCTACGATACCTTTGACATGATCAGAAGTAGCCCTAGATACCTGTGACTATCTGTACTTCATGATAAATGTTTCCCTTATTAGACTATTTTTATTCCTTCCAATGCAGTGTTCTCTCTAAGCCATATGTGTCAAATTTTCCTCAGCTATCCATTGCAATCTGAATCCTAATGGCATTGATCGTCCTGTCCACACAGAAGATATTAACCTGTCACTTGAAGGTGAAGGAATTGAGTTGCCCTCGCGTAAGAATGATAATACTCGGAAGGTGCTTGAGTCAAAAGGGACACCCAAGAGACAGCAGGTGGAACCAGAAACATCTAAGGTAGGTAAATTCAGATCACCGCTTATTTTACAGAACCTGACGTGTGCAAGCATGTCACAGGAGACACAAAGTCATGGACAATGAGAAAAAGCAACAGCGGGGGGGGAAGTGTTGCAGCAATAGAAAAGTATAGCTACACTAGGCACGTGCATAACTTGGTGCTTCCACTATTTTATATCTGTCTCTATGAAAAGAGTAAAAAATAGTTGAATTGCTCTATTGCAGGCATTGCAAAAGAGGTAAGTTTGCAGAGTGATTTTAAAACAGGATAGAATAGTGACTGAGTGGACCAGTGTGGATTTGTGCTTTAACGTGAGTTTGTGGCGACTGAGGGCTAGTCTAAACTGAAAAGTTCAATTGGCATAGCAACGTCTTTCGGGGTGTGAAAAATCCACACGGTCTGAGAGACGAGGTTAAGCCAACCTAATCTCCGGTGAAGGCTGTGCTAGGTCGATGCAAGAATTCTTCCACTGACCTAGCTGCTGCCTCTCAGGGAGGTGGATTACCTATGGCGATGGGAGAACCCCTCTCATCACTGTAATAAGTGTCTATACTGAAGCAGCACAGTGCAGTAGCGTTTCTAGTGTAGACATACCCTGAGTTTAGTATGATGCATTAACTAATTTGAGATAGAATGTACCCAATCAACTTCTCCATATCTGACATCACTGTGAATAGCCATACTTCAGATGTGAATTTTAAAGACCAATAAATTCTGTCCTGATTTGTAAGTTGACCTGAATTTTTAGTTTCTTCTTCACGTGCAGTAGAGATACTCATCAAATATAAGTGAATGCTCCAGTCATTTTTGATATTGGAAAATAACCTGTCTCTATGTATGGTCGTGGCAGATATGTTTTTAAGTGGAATGAAAAATAGAAGAATGTAAAATATTTTGAGCCAGATTCTATAAAAGCCCTCCAATCTTTTGGACCTTGTCAGCCCTGAAAAACTGTGTGTGTTTGGGGGGGGGGGGGGGCGCGGTGAAGAGAGAAGGGTGGAGAGGAACTTCTGCAGAGTGGAAGATGGATATTTTTACCGAATCTGGTACTTCAGGGGTTACTAGAGCAGATAGAATGAGTAAAAAATGAAAGGTCAATAACAGTATTTTTGAATAACTTTGAACAAGTAAGTATATTTCCTGCAGTAGATGATACAGTAAATTTAATAATATATACACAACCAGTATGAACTTTACTTTTATAATCAATTAACATTTGATATTTTGCACACTATCCTGGCTTGCTAACAGAAGCTTACTGTGAATTCACCATAATAGTGTTTATCTAAGATACCTGCTTATAAACAGATGCAATTAAAACTCACATCATCCTTTCTTCAGTAAGCCAATGAACTGAATCCAACCCAGGCTGACAGCAACAAAAAGTAGTTGCAATTTGCAGTCTGTTCAGTGGCTCAGGTCAAGTGAATTGTTAGTTTCATTTGAATCCTTACTGAACAGGTTTCCACATCAGTCTGAATCTTATTTACATTCTCAACAAAGGGTATGTCTACACTGCAATAAAAAACTTGTGACACTGAGTCTCAGAGCCTGGGTCAATTGACTTTTTGGCTCATGGGGCTCCGGCTGCGGGGCTAAAAAGTGCAGTGTAGATGTTCGGACTTGGGCTGGAGCCTGGGCTCTGAAACCCCACGAGGGGGGTGGGTCTCAGAGTTCTGGCTCCAGCCTGAGCCCAAATGTCTACACTGCTATTTTTAGCCCTGCAGCCTGAGCAATGTGAGACCAAGCCAGTTAACTCCGGCTAGCCACAGCTGTGCCATGGGTCTTTTATTGCAGTGTAGACACACCCAAAGAGGCCAAATACGAAGTGGATAATGAAACTACGCTACACTAGTACACAAGTCAAAATTGAGATGCACCGGCAGCACAATATGATGAAACTTGCAGTGCTGCTGTCTGTGCTGTATTTGTTCTGTTGATAAGTTGAAAATTTAATTTCCAGGGATGTCCATCAGGAAACCTGGAAGGGGGGTCGGGGGGGAATGCTTCATTAGTATTGCAAAGTCAGCCATCAGAGTCTCATACACACAACTGTGCTGATCAAAGTAATCTTGTTAAAGAAGCATTTGTTTGTGCCTGATGAAAATATTTGCATTTTGTCCTTTGGATTAAGCTTGTAATTGTTGAGTATCAAACTATTAAAGTGGATTGGCTATTATTGGTGAACATGGTTCTGCAGTATTGGATGATTCTATCCTCTCTCTCTCTCTGTGTTGTATCCACGTAGTATTGTTTCTCATCTGATCTGGATTCAGGTTTTCTCTTCTGGAGAGATCTAGGTAGATGAGTCTTTTCTAATTGTCTGCATCTTGAATTGGAAACATAAAATGCAATTATAATGTGATTTTTTTTGGGGGGGGGGGTATACAAATTGAAGAAAGTAACTGTCATGTAATTTGTGTCCTTCTGTACAATGAAAGGATGAGAGATAGTGGAGAAAACTACTGCAAATGGAACACTGTTGGTTTATACACTTAATTTACGTTTTCCATCACAAAGATTTGATTTATCCTTTCTTTTGTGTTCTCTTCTGGGTCTGTGATTGCTTTTAGTCCCTTGTGTTTAAATAATACTAATGCACACATCATATCTGTAGTTTTGACATTTATATAATACATAGCAGTGCAATGTGATAAATGCAATTTATGATGTACTTTTGACCACCTTGCCTGGCCTTTGCCCAATAATTCATCTCCATGGGAACCACTTCCAACATTTGAAACCCCTGGTAGCCTCAAGCTATTGCCATTAAAATGATAGGCCAGCAGCCGAGGGGGCCACCAAGGTGGAGGCCCAACCACTTTTTGGCTGGACCAAAGCTGAGTAGCACTGTAACCCCATGCTTCAGGTTGCAACCCCACTCACTCAAATTTAGAGTGTGTGTGTGTGTGTGTGTGTGTGTGTGTGTGTGTGTAGGGGCTCATGGGCCAGGGGAGTCAAGCTGCTGGGGGGGGGGAAGAGCATGCCTGAGAGGGGAAGGGGGGGCAGGTGGGGGGAGAATCTGTTTTTACACACACCCACTCTTTGAATGGCGCTCTACCCTTCCTCCCACTTCCCCCGCCCTGATTCAAACAAAGAGACCATTCCACCTGCCAGAGTAATATTTTCTTCTTCTTACAATGGTTTGAGATGCAGCATGGGTAACATTTCATCATGGACCACTGAGAGATTTAAGGGCCAATTTTTGAAACTCATCAGGGCTATGAAGGGGTACCTTATACTGTTGGACAAAGAATGAAATATACAACACTCCTACTTCTGGAATGTCCTATGAGATCAGATTTTTTTTTTTTTTTTTTTTTTGGAGGGATCAGAAAGGGCTGGGGTGTTGCATAAGTTTTGTAGGTTTCTAAAATGCTGTTTGTTCTCACAGTAACTAAGGCATCTGATTTAAAGATGAATTGATATGGAAAAACAGAAGAAACCTTCTTTCCCTCTTTTCCTGCGGGACATGTAGCAAACACCAAATGCACAAATGTGGTATAAAGCCTTTAGTGGCATATGGTTGGGTTCATATGGGTAGGTCAATGAAACTCCACCCAAATACAGAGACCACACAAATAGATGCAGGATCAGGGTGTGTTTGTGCATACACACGTGTGTGCTCTTTTCCTGGTGTGTGATTGCTTTTAATCTTAGCAGTATGTCAAAAGGCAAACTTTAAAATCTACACTGCTGAATGGACCTACACAGAGCTGAAGTCTCTCTTACTTTTGTTTTTTCACTAACAGCCAAGGATGGTTTCAGAAAGACCTTTTCCCCCAGTAGCTTCACTGTTAGTCCCACTGTATGATCTTATATACTGTTTCCTCAATTTTATCCATTATGCTTAATGTCATTTCTGCTTGATTTTTTTTCCCATTTCCTTCCTCTATAGTCCCAAATTTTCTGATTTCTTGTTCTCATTCACAAACTTAATTTGTGATTTTGAAAGCCGTGTTATTCATTGTGAGCCAGGGTACTAGAAACTGCTCTTCCTTTATTAAGAAAAAAGTTATTCAGAAAAGTTTGATTCTCATATACAGAATATATACCTCATGTGACACATTGTTCTCATGTCGTAACTGTTGGCAAATATTGCAGGCTGCCTAATGGTGACCACTAGAACTGCAATTAAACTTTTTTTGTTTAGTTGGTAATTGCAGTTTTATATCTGACTTGGAGACAAATTACAGGCGTTTCAAATCTGCACAAAAACTGTAAGAAAAGACAATGGTAGGTGAAGTGATACAATTTTCTGTTGCCTTTTGTTGACATGTGCTTTATAGATATCAGTGTGCTAAACATTTTTTTTCTTCCTTTGTAATGTAGCTTTTTATATTTTTCCATAATCCAGTTATGAAAAAAGACCTCAAAAACATTAAAGGTCGGAGGTTGAGAATTCTAAACCAACTACTGTTCCCTTATCTCAGCTCATCAGGCCAAATATCACCACTCGAGTAGACAGGAGCAACTGCATTGACTTCATGGAATTCTGCTTGCTTATGGCAGTAGTTAAAGTGTGTATTGCAGCCCAGGGCCATTAACAGCATGCATTGAAGCATGCCTCTGAGCACAGAGAGAGAAGGCAGGTTCTAAGTGGCACCGGTTAGGTTGATATTTATCCAGCTTTGATGATGTGTAAGGATATTTTGTCTTGACAATGTGTAAAGAATTTTAGCCGTTAGCTTCCATTTTTAATGGCAGAATAAAGGAAATGAGCATCCAAAACAGAGAATTCCCCCAAAAGCACAAGTTTTGCATTAGTAACTTCTTTTTATAGTAGGACTATGTTGTCACATTAAACAGATCCTGTTACAATGGTGCTGTTCGTGTTCTCTCTCTCTCTCTCTCTCTCTCTCTCACACTCACTCACACACACACACACACACACACACACACACACACACACACACACACACGGTAAATGAGGACTTTTAATGATGTGGTGGGTTGATTTAAATCAAGGTTTCTTGCTTGCTGATTTAAAGCTGTAATT